AAAATATTTACTTGTACAAGAGTATAACCAACACTGTTCCCTGAATTAATCTCCTGTGCTTTTATTGGAGAATTCTCATCCAAAAACTATCTATGTCCAGGTCTGGCAAAATTATAGTTCACAGTGAATGCCTACATTGATGCCCAACATCATAATGAATATGAGGCTATTGTTAATGATAAGTCTGAAAGCTGAGGGCCCTGTCTCCATTGACAACATATAAATCCTGTTCCCAGACTTTCAAAAATAGAGCAGTCCCAAGACATTTTTTTTACTATTAATAGTCATTTCTATTCAGTTCCTAAAGACCATCAACAGGATGAAGAATAACAGGGTTATTGTCTATACTTGAAATATATTATAGACCATGGGATTATGTTTCCTAAAGTCTACAGAAGGAAGTGTTATGCAATAAGATAATTAGTGTAGCTGATATATTAATACACATAGTACTTTGATTTTATATTTAGGAAAGCACAAGTTATGTGCCTTAAATATGCCATCTGTGGCTCATAATTCACCACTGAAGGATCTGAAGACATAAGTATGTATTAGCATTACTAATCTGTGTCGCATGAACGTCAAACAAAATCTCTATTGAAAGTAAATTTCATAAGCTGAAAAGCTGCTGCTACTGGCTTCAGCATGATTCTGCAGGGCATGATTGCCCTGCCTTGCCCCTGATTTTGACAAGAAACATTCTTTCTTGTCCTTACTTCAAAGCTTATAAAAAAATTTAAAAGGCATCTTTACTTTTGGACATGAGGTCTTCCATTTTAACAGTAAAGCAAGTCTTGGGGTAAAAAAATAGTTTTTTACGTGATAGCAATTTCTGCATTTGACTGTATAATCTTGTTTGTTTGATCTAAATCATTCCACAATTTCTAAAAGATTTTCCTTCTGCATTGTTTGTACTAGGTAATTGTAATTTGTTAAGTGCTGTCAGTGTGCTTGACTCTCCTTGCTCACGTTAGCTGCATCCAGACGTGCGTGGACATTTAGTTCCCTGGGGACAACTAGTGGCAGTGCACCTTGTGCCACCGCTAGTTGTCCCTGGGGAATGCCTGTGCCACGTGTGCTCTGGTGTGCAGCAGGTTACCCTGGGTGTGGTAGCACTGGGCTGGCTCCAGCAGTCTTACCTGTGGTCCTGGGGGCCTCCCAGGGCTGCATCAGTGGTGATCCTGCTGTGTGGAGCCTGGCCAGCAGTGGTGTGTGGCTCTGGCCAGCCAGGCTCTGGCTCTGGGCGGCACATTTTGCCGCCACGTGCACCACTTCACATTTTTTCCACGGGTTTTTTTGATCCCTGGATACCCTGGAGAATAAGTGAACGTACGGTATGTGGTGCCGCAGATCACATGGCCACGCTCATCTAGACACAGCCATTGGGGTGCAATTAGCAAGTAGCAATAAACTCTAGTGCGGTTTGTGCTGGAGTTTCTTGCTCCCAGGTGCAGCGTTTACACGTGCCCAGGACTGCATCACATTGAGCTGGGGCAGAGCAGCCTTGGCTGTCAGGGGCTTCAGGGAGTCAGCCTGCCAGCCCAGGGCTACTTTGTTCTGGCTTAATGTGCTGCAGAGGAGCTGGCTGTGGCACGAGTGTGCTACAGTGCGGGGCTAGCCAGCAGGCAGCACTTGCACTGTAGCACCCTTGTGCCCTAACCAGGCCTGGTCCACCATCTACACATGTGTTTTGGTGCACATAACTGCGCCACTGTAGGATAGTACTTGTCCTGGAAAGTACTATCCTACAGCAGAATTAATTAATTTACTATAATGTACAGCTTATAATAGGGGCACATGTGTAAACAGTGACACTACTGCAGAGCTAATTAGTCAGCTCTGTAGTAAAGTTTACATGTAGATGCACCCAGCAACAACTAATATCTTTGACGGAACTATATGATTACGCTGGTAAAGATATATGGACTGGCTAGAGACAGTTCCATTATTACAGTCAACAACTATCTGGAAAAAAACTTATCAGAGAGAGAGAGGAAGAGACACTAGTATAGTAGACAAGAGTTTTCCAAAATTTGATAGGTAAGAATAAAGAGAAGGCAAAAAAATAATTTAGAACTATATATTGTACATGCTGACTAGTGATGATAGCAGGTTTTATGTTTAAAATTCTAATTTAGTAGTTATGCATTTCTTAGATCTTTAAATGTGAATTTGGAGGAACAACCACAGGCAAGGTTCTTTGGGTAGATATGATATCTTTATTGGACCAACTGCTAGTTGGAAAAAAGTTCTTTGCAAGCTTTTGGGCACAAACACCCTTCTTCAGGCATTGGGAGACTCTGCTGCTGTTAACAACCACTGATTTATTTTCATGCTGTACAGGGGTAGAGATGTGCCTGCATGACCAGATTGGGATGTGAATCTAAACTTCTCCAAAGTTTAGGGGTATTTGTACTCAGGATTTCAACACAGATTCATCTCTAACAAATAACTTCCATTCACTTGTTTTACATTTTCTTACTGCATTCAAAAATTGTTAGGCTGGGGGACTTGGAAAGGCCCTAGCGGGTATGTGTGGGTGAGCAGGGATGGAGTGCTGGCACCCACCACCCTGTGTCTCTGGCTGCACATGTGGGAGAGGAGGATTTCACATGCAGCAGCCGCCTCCACCACCCACTGCCCCGTGCCACTGCCGTGCTCTTGGCCGGGTGTGAGGCCTGTCAGCAGTCCATGGAGACACATGTAGAAAAGCAGGGCACGGCAGCACAGGTCAGTGGGTGGCAGGTGCAAGCTCCCTCCCTCCACCCTGCTCCACGTGCGGCTGCTGCCACCCTCTCTCCCTCCCCCTACTCTGCGACTGGCTGCTGAGGGTACACTTCCTAAAAAAGGTTGAAAACCCCTGTGTTAGGCAATTGTAGTGAAATCAGGTTTACGTTCAGGTCTTTGCCATTTGTACCCTTACATTCATTTTATGTTAACAGACTGTGACCTTACAACCCTAGGATTATGTGGATCAAGTAGAAGAAGAAGCTGCACTGTGAGAGCTCATTCAAAATGCCAGCATCTAAAATATTGGTAAAAGAGAAACAAAAAAATGCATCTGACTTTGGTAATTACTTTTGTAAGAATGTTGTTGTTGCTTTTTTTTCTCCTGTGGTAGAAGTCCGTGTATGGGAAGTTCTGTAACTGTCACAACTATAGGAGGATGGTGTCAGGATCTGATCCCACAGACACCTTAGCATGGCCTTAACTTGACTTTTGTGGGATAAGTTACATGATTAAAATTACTTGCATGTATAGGTGCTTGTGGATCAGGGTTTGGTGGTACAGGAGTCTTACCTATGTCAGTGACTCAAAAAAAACCGCCCCTAGCTTCTGTTGCTGCTGCCACTGCAGTGCAATATGCCCACCCCAGCTGTTGCTCTTAAAGCAGCTGTGTGGTATCTGTGCATCTGGCTGCTGCTGCAAGAGCGACTCTGTGGGGCTGCTTTTGCTGCTGGGATACAGACTCCTCCATGGGGGTGGGGGATGATTCTGGCACCCCTCCTAAGTTGGCACCAAGGGCTGGCACCCCACTCGCCTACCCCTAGTAATGATACTGGAAGAAGGCTGACTACTTGACTAGGTAAAAGATCCTCTCAAGCCGCTCATGTGTCACGGGCCACGTACAGGTATTATGTTTCTACTAGGAGAATCACCAATTTCCCACTAGACATTAGGAGCATATAAATGTTTATTCAATTTCTCCTGGAGGAAACATGGCCCCTTTTGGGAGAAAGAGCTTCCCGCTTGACAGCTGGGACATTTTCCTTGTCAAAATTTCTCTTGCAAGAATGAACACCTGTATACTTTTGTTCAACTGCTCTGCGATCCATTGGAGTCGAACGGTAGTTTCCCCTGTGCCTTCCCCACACTGTGGGGACTCCAGCCTGGGTAATGCGTAGGGGCATTTTTCCATAGCTTGAACACTCCCATGGGGACCCCCTGGTCTGGAGAAGGTGTAGTGGGGTATTGCCCTGCTGTTCCCTGCTTGTTCCCTGGACTGGGGTCCCCAATTCTTGGGAATGGGTGTGAGGGCAGGATCGCCCTGCTTCTCCACTCCCTTCCAGGTCTGGTGCAGGGCTATGAGTGAGTGGCTCAAAGCACTGCGCAGGGGGCAGCCAATCAGATTCCTCTGTGGCAAGTTCAAAGCTGGCATCTGTAGCCCTGCACCAGATCTGGGGAGGAGTGGTGCCACAGGGCAGTGCCCTCCCACCTGTTCCCTAGGTTGGGACATCCTGGTCTAAAGAACAGGCAGGGAGCAGTGGGGCAGTGCTTCCCATGCCCTCTCCAGACCAAAGTGTCCCCTGTCTGGGGAAGGTTTGGGGGGCAGTGGCAGCTCAACTCCAGTCTGGTTTATTGGAGGGGAGTGAAACAGCAAAGAAAGACTCCTTTCCTGTTCCCCAAATCTGAGTGTTCCCAAGTTGGGGAAGCACAGGTAGTCCATCCCACCACTCTATTCCCCCAGGAATGTGAGGAGTGGAGCAGCCACTGCTTCCCAAACCTTTCCAGACTGGGATCAGCCATCTGAGGAAAGCAGGAGAGCAGGAGAGAGGGGATAGTTGCAGGCTGAATGCCTGTACTGCTCCCTCTCCTGGAAGCATTTTTAGCAGTGAAAATTTTTGAGACATTAACACCTGCTCATACCCACAGTTTTAACAATAGTATTTTCCCCTTAACCTTGGGCCCATTCC